GAAATAACCTCAATTATGTAATTATATACATAAATTAAGATTATGTTTTTAAAGTTCCTACCTAAGTTTCTGTAACCATATGTATATAATAATATTGGAAAGATTTCTTTATGTACTATTTGATAGAATAAATTAATTTTTTTTTAATTCAATTTTATATTGATAGATCTTTATGTTCTAGACTCTGAATCGTTTTTCGATGACAAAAACCTTGAACAATAACCTAGTAAATTCCTAGTCGACTCAAGTCCTAATTTTATTGAAAGTCTAAAGCATTTTTAGGCAAGTGTATATTCAGAATAAAAATTTGAAAGAGGAATTTTCAGTCTATTGAATTATACAATTTATTTATATGTCTATCAAAAATATATGTAATGCAAAAAAGGGATTGCATAATTTTTGTTTCTAATGTCATAGTTCCATATGGTTACAGTGAATGATCTCTTAGTGCCTGTACTAAGAATTTTTAAGTTCGATATCGGTATGTATAGGTGCCTTAGCTGGAATCTGTTTTCATTTACATTGGGTAAAAGGCAAAGAAACTTTGGAAAGATGGCATACTGGAGTTACATTACGAAATTTAAATATTGTGGGCTTTGTAAGTGCTGTAACTAGCATTACTGCACTGATTTGGTACCTGTTTCTTACGTTTTATTATCAAATTCGTAAGCATATTGTAATATTTTAGATATTTCACAGGTTTACTTATTTATTTTACGACGTTAGTTTATTTTTAATTATTTATTTTTAATCCTGTATGTGATTACATCTTGATTATACACTAGGAAATTACCTGTTGACTTACAATATTTACTAGTACATAAAAATTTATTTATTATTGTAGCCATTCGGCCAATTTCTGAAAGCACTGTAATAACAGCAGTATGGTCCATGATCTGTGGAAAATGGGGTATTACTTTAATGTATTACTCAAACAAATATGAATTATTGGTTCAAGAAGGAGCATCACCTATACTTACAGATAATGCCTGAAATATGATATCATAATTTATATTTTTATATAAAATAATATTTTTTACAAAATAAATGCGTAAGATAAATCAAACCTATTGAAGTTTTTATTTACGAGAAAAATATTTCATTTTATCAACTCATTAAATGAGAAAGCGCAAGCAAATGAATTTCAATATTTTATTATATCTGCAAATTTTTGTTCTTTTATTTACGTATATGCTGTATAAACATATTGTTAGGAATTACAACGGAGTTTCTTCTTGATGATATTGGAAGGTATTCCTTCACTCGATAATTTGGACAAGTTTGATATAAACTTTTGTAAAATAACTATTAAGTATATCTTAAACATGAAAAGATTGTATATAAAGCCTGTATATCTTCATTTAATCAATAAATAAACTTCATTGTAATTATAAAATTGTATATTTTAAAGTACAATAATATTATACCTATATACATTTATGCCTCCTCTCCCCCCTCTCTTTCTCTCTCATTATGTATGTACATATACGAATAATGTAACGAATCTTACATGTATAAAAGTATAGGAGTTTACAAAACATCTTATCCTAAGGAGACGATTTATAAAGTGGATCGATAATTGTATATAAACCAATTAATGAAGAAATCATTCCAAGTAAACCTATTGTACCTGGAGTACATTTTGTGACACCTAATGCTGTCAATGGAATAAATAAGTCACATCCATTTTTAACAGTATCCATCGTTATTTCCTTGTGATTTTTTAGACAGGATAATATATAATATTGTTTAAATACATTCTTCTTGTGTTCCAAAATCTTGATAATCTCATAAATATCTCTTATTAAACTCATAACAATAGTTAATAACCAATACTTATTAGCAACTTTATTCCATTTTTCTAAATCAACTCGTAAAATTCCTACTCTGCCAATCCAGATAAAATGATCTGCTAGTAAGTACAAAGCATTTGCCATCTTTGCCATGGTTAATGTTATTCTTACTATAGGATCAGGATACTTCATCATTTTTAAAGCAGAATAAACGCTATCTAAGCATCTTCCAAAGCGCAGCACTAGAAAGAAAAAATTATATATGACATTTATTTGTTAGCTATAGAAACACGTTTCTATAAATCAGAGAGTTATCATTACATTTTCGAAATGAGCTAAAAGTGAATTCCAAACTTCTCAAAATTTCTGCAGAATATCTTGTGCTATGCACATTTTGTGCATAATACCAGTATGCTCGACTTCCATATTGAAGCAATCTGCAAGCAAAATAATTTTTGATATTTCTGATATTGCTAAATAAAGCATAGTGCTTCATAATTTATAATCTTAATGCCAATGACAAATTTTTTTCAATATAAATTGGAAGTTCTTAACAATTTTTTCTTAATAAAAATGCTTAATTACATATAGGCCTATATTCCAAAATTTACTGCAAATAATGAAAATCTATATTTACACCACGTGCACTATAGGTTTTCAGTACTGACAGTAACTTTTGAAACACAGCCATAATCTTTTGATTATAAATAATGGAGAATAATGAAAATTTTTCACAACCTAAAATGAATTCGTAAATAATAATAATTTTCTTTATGTAATTTTAAATAAATTTCTATACAATTTTGATTAATTGTTTAATCATAAAGATTATACCAAAAGCTACAATAATATATAAATGACATCGACTTTTTTAATATTTAATAAATAAAAGAATAAATCAATTTTTAATTTATAAGAGAATGTGTCATTAGAAATTATGATAAAAACGATTCAGTCTAGAAATAAAAAAATTGTCTTAGTTTTAAATTAAGATGATTAAAGAGCATAATGCTCGGCATGATGTAAACAGAGAATAATATTAGAAATACAAGTGAATAAAAGAAATAAAGGATTTTATCATCGTATATGACACACCTTATTAATTTGTCCCTCCCTGCCGTTTGCTCATTCAACTTTACAAAGATATCCATAATTTCTTTCGGACGAAAGAATCTTTAATTCACACAAATTGTGCAACTAACAAAAACAGATAAATAATTTTTAATATATATTGTCAAAAATCATTTGTATTCAAAACGGTAGTTTAGAAGGTCTTACAAGATAAATATCTAAAGCAAATATCTTGTTGCTCTTTTACATTTGTCATAACTACATATCTTTTTTTCACAATCGCTTTCCATTATCACGAGCTAACAACAGTTATATATTGGACTCTGCACTTAGAAAGAAATTATTGTAAAAACAATGACTGACAACTACTCAGAGATTATAAATCATTTTAATGAATTATTAATTCGCATGATTATAAAATGTAATAAATATATATTCATTAACGGAACTTATCCATATATTTATGACGTATTCGATTTTACTGATTCGATCTGACTCCGAGTCAATAAGCCTGTTCTTTTTGGCTGAACTTTTGCACCAGTTTATTTTCTTCTTTTTCTCTCCAGGAAGAAAGAGGAGTAAGAAAGATGAACTGATGCAAAAGTTCAGCCAAAAAAACAAGTCTATTGATCTGGAGTATTTTTTTGTTTTCCAATCAGAAACTACCACAAACTACCTTCGTCTCTAAAAATCAAAAGATGAAGATAGCCTTAGCCATAGTTGCTTCTGAATAACGGCATAACGAAAAAAACGCCACTGATAAGGTACAATCGCAATAGAAGGAATAAGAAATAATGATTTCAATCTATCAGATCGGACCAGAATACGATTTCTGATAGGTTGAAATCCTTAATCTTTATTCTTAATTCCTTATTCTTTCTATCGTGACCATTATCTCTAGAAAACTTTATCTCTAGGTTGGATAATACCACTGTTATCCCTAGGAAACTTTATCCCTAGGGTGGAAAATGAAAAGTAACAATAATTTTAACCATTGAAGTTAATAGTGAAATTTTTCACTTTTCATCCTAGAAAAAAAGTTTCATGATACCAAGAGTTAAACTGTGGCCTAGTTTTCTAACCAAGGGTCTGCTCCGAATTGGAATGTAAGAACCAACCAATTGCAGTCGAGTATTCCCCTGTTACAGTCGAATGACAAGGGAATGCTCGATTGCAGTTGGTTCTTGCAATCTGACCCGGATCGAACTCTTGGTAAACTAGACCTGTGCAAGAAATGCAGTTAAAAAGAATAGACCGTTGATTTTCGAAATCGGGTCAAGTCCCTGCGCATAATAACAAGAATAAAGAATTAGTAATAAAGAATAACAATTTTAACTTATCAGATTGTGCGCAGAGCCTAAGTCAAATACGCTATTAGTTATTTATTTAAATTAATCACACTTCTAAGGATGCAGCCTCAATAGAAGGAATAAGGAATTAAAAATAAAGAATAATATTCCAACCTATCAGAAACCGTGTATTCAATTTTTAATAGGGTGAAATCTTTATTCCTTATTCCTAATTCCATATTTCTTCCATTGTGGCTGTACCTTTATCCTTCCATCAATTTATAGCGAATTCAGTAAACTGCAATGCGCACTGAATGAACTTTTCAATGCCACGCATTTGGCTTGTGCGTACTTTATGGGTGTCATCCCACATGCCCGTTATGTCTACAATGAGTCTTTATTCGGAAGTTCTAATATCCATATTCATAGTCAGACCTTGTACTTAAGGCTTCCTTAAATTTATCTTTAGATAGCAGCAAATGAAATAATTCGTATCTAAAAATAAATTTAAGGAAGCCTTAAATATAAGACCCGAATATGAGTATAAATCTATGAATATGAGTATAAGTCTTATCGGTGAAGTTGGCCAATAGCTAACTTGTGCGACTAGTGCTGATTATCCAACTTTACTGATTAAATCTAAGAATGCGTTCCAATTAACGTTCGCAACGCTCGCGAGCATTATTCTTACTAGAAAATTGAGTTCACTACAATTCCGTTCCGTAAGAAATTTCTCTTCTCGTCTCATGTGGTCGAAACGAAATGAAAACAGACGAAATGTTGCCTCTCAATCTAATTTGCTTAATTTAATCGACATTTCGTTATTTTAATGCTGTTGATTCCGTATCATCTCTTCCATGGCTATGATTCCGGTAGTTCCGATACAGTAGAGAAACTTCTTACGAAACGGAATGCTTAGTGAACTCATTTCTAGTAAGACCGTTCCAATTCCGTGTACATAGGACTCTTAAGCCTATTCTACAATAATCGTAAGTGTAGTTGTAAATGGTTGTAATTTTAAGTATTGACCAATCAAGTCGAATGTGTGGAGAATATTTGACTGTGATTGATCAATTCTTACAATTACAACCGCTTACAACTACATTTGTAACTATTGTAGAATAGGCTGTAGAGTTAAGTAGGAACTATGGTAAGAGCATGTTGGAGCACGAGACGCGAACAAATCTCTAGTTTACTACGTTTACGGGTACTAACTAATAACTTTCTATTGAATGATCTTAATTTGGACGATACGTGTAAACATATATATGATGGCTGCGGTCTCACTACAATGCTTTGAAGCGTTTGGTTGACCAATTAGAAAAAAAATTTTACTAATTTACCAATCAAAAATTGCTTTAAAGTAAAATCGAACCATACCCGATGTGTATTTATTTAATTATTTTGATACATACTGTACCAATTTAGTACATCTTTCTTTGAATATCTCGTTGAAATTAAAATAATTTAATAGAAAGTTACTAGTTAGTACGCGTATCAAGTGCACGATGTAAAGACCAGTGCTATTTGGTATAGTAAAAAAACATGTAATTCGCATCATGTCAGAGCACTAGTGCAGAGGCTTCGCACAATAAAAGCAACAGAGAACCGAGAATAAGAATTTCAACTTAATATCAGAAACTGTGTATTCCACAATACATGATTTCTGATAGATTGAGATTCTTATTCCTTTTATTGTGCAAAGCCCCTCAGTGCATGTACGCCGAATTCGCCATTAGAAAGAATCATGATGCGCATAGTATACACACGTAATCTGTTCGCGTTGCTTGAAATCCTCAAATATTTTTGCGCTTAAAATAAGATAGATACATATTTGGATGTTGAAAAGAGAAAAAAGAAAGATACTGCGAAGAGTGTAAAAAGTGCATGCATTGCGAAGAAACCGATTAATTGATGGTTCATCTCTTTTATAAGTATATATACATGTCCCTTCGTGCACTTTTATGCACTAAACTTCTACACAAATAAAACCGTATTAAACTAAATAATACACAAATTAATCGTTTATACATGTTTTTAAAAATTTTACTAACTGGCCAATCAAAAAATGCTTTGAAGTGCATTCATAGCATCGAGTGGACCGTAGCCACAGAAAAGAAAACAGGCAGAGTACTGTAGAGTTGTGATTGGTCGCGCTGTTCCGCTGTAAATTTTCACTCATGTAACGCCAGCCATCTCCCTTCCTCATCGTCATCGAATGCAGTCATGTGTCGTTTTCGTCTTGTAATTGCTTGTAATCTGGTCTAGTGTCGACGTATCCAAGATGGCGAGCACGGTGAATGAAATTTCGACACAAACGAATGAAAACCTAACGGAATATCAAAATGCAACCACGGCGAGAATACCATCGACGCCCGAAGGAATGGCCATTGCGTACGGCAGCCTCATTATTATGGCCATTCTACCAATTTTCTTTGGTAGCTATCGTGCAGTCAAACACCATAAGGAGCAGCAGGTTAGCCACGAATCTTGACATATGTTTGACACGTACATTTTTACAAGATCTCTCTTTTTCATATCATTTTCATCAGTATATCATCAGTATATCATGATTTGTAAGAAAATTCTTTGATAGTCTGGTATTTATTCCTTTTTCCAAATATATAATTCTTCATGTAATTATAAGATTAAATAAAATTAAATTCAAATATCCAATATAATCATGAAGAAGCACAAGTGCGCGCTATAGAAATGGTACTACAATACAATTGCAAAATTATGTATTACCGTTTATGTAGATATTGTTAGTTTCTCTTGAATGTTTCACTATTTCTTATATCTTTTATTTTATAGCAATTATATAAAACAAGTGGTGAGCAACCTGACACAATGTCTCGTAGAGAAGCTGCCATGTTTCCTCTTATCTCCAGTGTTACATTAGTTGGCTTGTATATATTATATAAGGTAATTGGATGTTTGTATATAAATGTTATTTTTGTAGAATGAAATGTTAAAATTTTATTTTATTGATTTTTGAAGTGTTCAATGATAAACTGTATAATTGTTTTTCGCAGGTATTTGCAAAGGAGTACGTTAATTTGATATTAGCTGGATATTTTTTCTTTCTTGGTATTCTAGCTTTATGTCATCTTACAAGGTAATTTAAGCTTTTTTGTATAATTATAAATACATCATTGAATCTCTTTAGTAATTTCAATGAAATATTTATATTTGATTCATCTTTAGCTGTATCAAGGAAATTTTTAAGTATTTTAAAATTTCAGCCCATTAATTTCATCGTTAGTACCTGCTGCGATTCCAAAGACGCAGTATCATATTTTATTTACAAAAGGAAAGGATGATAAAGAAGAGCATATAATTAATTACAAGTTTAATCTTCATGACATTGTATGCCTTGTGTGCTGCTCGCTCGTGGGTGCTTGGTATCTTCTGAAAAAAGTAAAAAAATGATAAAAAAATCAGTTTTTAGACATAGATTGAAACTTTTTAACATCTTTGTTACTCTGTTATTTTCTTTTTTTTCAGCACTGGATAGCTAACAATCTGTTTGGCATAGCATTTGCTATTAATGGAGTCGAATTGTTACATCTTAACAATGTCGTGACTGGATGCATTTTACTGTGTGGGCTTCTGTTTTATGATGCTTTTTGGGTGTTTGGTACAGATGTAATGGTAACGGTGGCAAAGTCCTTTGAAGTGCCGATTAAACTTGTGTTTCCACAGGATCTTTTAGAAAAGGGCTTGAATGCTGGTAATTTTGCCATGTTGGGATTAGGTGATATTGTATTGCCTGGTATCTTTATCGCGTTACTCTTGCGATTCGACAACAGTTTGAGCAGAAAAACAAATGTCTACTTCTATTCGACATTTTTTGCATACTTTATGGGATTACTCGCCACCATGATGATCATGCACTTGTTCAATCATGCACAACCTGCTCTATTGTATTTAGTACCCGCGTGTATAGGCACGCCATTGCTCTTAGCGTTAGTCAAAGGAGACCTCAAGGCATTGTTTTCGTAAGTATTTCTAAATTCTTATCATTGTACGTTATAT